GAAGTGAGTAACTTATAGTAATGTCTATACTAAGCATGCTTACTCATCTTTTTCACCTTTATAAACTGTTTAAATACTATTAAAAGTATGCTTCAAGTAATTAGTGTAATAAAACTCATTGAAGTTGTTATTAAAATGCAATTTTTTATGCATAAACACTATTATCCGCGACTTAATATAGCATTTGATTTTTTGTGACATATTTTTAAAATGCATTATTTTTTTGTATATGGTTTTGCATATGCATACTGTCCTATCAATTAGTGGTAACTCTTGGAGCTGTTCTCAAAGCAAAATCACAACAAACGCATGCGTTTTCAATAGGAAAACATACGATATCTTCATATATCCATCATATTCTTGATATTATCACTCACTTAATCAAAAAATGCTTTTATTATAAACTAGGTCTTTTCTAAAAAATGGAAAATATTTATCAAGTCATAACCATTACAACTATCACATAATGGGTTCTTATGCCACCAAATTTAATATCTGTCAAAGTGTACGCTAGTGGTGGTGATTACAGTGTGTATATTTCTCCAAAAATATGAACAAAAATATATGGCATATGAAAAGTTTTGGTTACTATGGACGCTAATCTATATGCTCACAAAAGAGAGAGGTATAAAAGAGAATTTCTAATGTCATTCGCGACGCGAAATGATCATAAATTTCGGGTTTTTTATTCTTATCAATGAATTTACTGCAAATTCATATGAAATAATTTTAAAACCATTTTTTGTGTCTAATATATAAAATTTCACTAAAACAGCGAAAAGCCAACGATTAAGATATTGCTGTTGGGTTTGGACAACGCGGGTAAGACGACCACTGCCTTACATCTCATCGGAGGTATTGGCGACCAATTTTTACATTGATAACATATTTTATACGCTATCATATACGAAATCTTTATCACTAGTCAGTGACACACACACACACACGTAAACCGCAATAATTAATTAGCTCTAAAGTGCTATAATTTTAAAAACACATTTTTTGCCTCAAAAAATATTTGTCAGATTCGTTGGAAGATATCATACCAACGATTGGTTTCTCAAACCTAGAAATGAGGAGATATGAGAAATATCGTGTAGTGGTGTATGACTTGGGCGGTGGGGCCCGCATACGAGCCATTTGGAAGAACTACTTTGCCTTAATTCACGGAATCATATTCGTTATCGACTCATCCGATATCAGCCGAGTTCTTGAGGTCAAAGATGTCATCGAGGAAGTGGTCTCTAACGATAAGATTTCTGGAAAACCTATTCTAGTGTTTGTATATTTATTTCTCTCAAATATCGTTGTCTTATCTATGAGTTTAGGAATAATATCAGAAGATAGCCACAGATATATCAATAATAATCAGCAAACATTCTGATCGTTTGCATTAATTATCAGTATATCTGTGAATCGAAACTTACTTTCTATTGAGTAGTTTATTTGCAAAACCATTTGTGTGAATTTTAAATATTTGAGAGTATTTTAAGTATGATTTCCATGAAATGTATTGAAATCAAGATAATTGAGAACTAACTCTGGTATCGCACAAATGGCACATTTGTTTTCACGTTAATTCACTTATGGAAACAAATTTAGATATTTATCTATAGATATCGTTTTCGAAAAAAATATTTAGATGTTGAAAAATAATGTTAAGTTTTTTCGGTTTTTATATTTGCAGTTTAATTAATAAACAAGATATCGAAGGAGCGCTAGAGGAGCTGGATATTTGTCAATATTTAAAACTCGAATCCCTTATCAACAAATTTAAGTGTCCGACAAAAGTTGTGAGTACTATTTTTCTTATTTAGTATTTAACTCTTATTTTCTTTATATCCTTTCGAAACCACTGTAATTATAAATGAATTTATTATATTTTGCATTACTATTAAAAATTATTATGGCTTTGAATATGGTTTCTTTGGTCACAAATGGGTAACTTTTTCCTGAGACTATTAAACGGTTATAAAATAGTTTGCGCAAAGATATTGACATTTTTATTGTCAACTTATTTTATAAAATGTTAATTTTTCAAAAGCAAAATTTTGTATCATAAGAATCAGATAAAAATTTAATTAAAATCATTACAGTTAGTGAATAGTAACACAGAATTGGTGTTATATTTAATATCAATGTAAATGTAATGTTACGAAAGCTTATGATACAAATTCTTAACATAATATTTAATTGACTCAATAGTAATTCGTAATTTAAAATATATGTATTATGAAAATATATGCTTTATTTATTTAATGTGTTAAATATTAGCCATAAATATATTCATAGACTACATATTTTTGATAGTAACATGTTATTGTAATAAATGAAATTAAAGTCCGTAGAAAAATAAAAATCATATTAACGTATAGCGAGAAAAATGGTTCAAAAATATATAAATGAAACTTTTTTTACGGATATGTTTGTGACGAATGAATCTCTTTTTTCTCCACAAAAAGTATTTTAAAACTTAAAATAATTTAAATCAAGTTTTGCTAATTAATCACACCTTTTATACATATAGTGTACTATCAGTCAGGGGTCAAAAACTTTGCTATCGAGAGGTCTATAGTTATATAAGCCATGAATAGCATTACATAACACATATGAAGTGAAATATGTGTTTTATCGCACAAATGTAAACGTGTTTGAGAGCATTAAATCATGGACTCAATAGCTTATGTATAATCTAACGGACCATTTATTTTTCATATGCAAAACAAGCAGCAATTGATTTGATTTATTAATTGTATTTACAAGTCATTAGTCAAATAGGAAAACAATTCGCTCTTATAGTCACTGTTTGAGTGCTCGAGTAGTCGATAGCATATTGGGGTTACCATTCATTTGTAAATTAAAGTTATCGTTTATAAATAAAAATAATTGCTTGCGGTTTGATAGGCACATGACTTTCGAAATTATATGATTGGCGACTAATTTTATATAATATCTGTGCACTCAATAACACTAGTTATTGATATTTACGCCAATTTTCTAATCGCAAAACAATTTTGCTTCACATGTTGTGAATGTACGACGACTACTGTATGTAAGCAACTTGTGGTCCCATAGATTGGCTATAAGTTTGATGTTAACTTTGAAAGGTTTTCATATTAAGAGACTTTAGACTCGTTTTAATTAATAGTGCCTTTTGTCGATTCATCACTACTTGAAATTCAATTCTAATTTTATTTTATAATTTAAATTTTGTTTTTTGGCAAAAATTTACTCCTTTTTTCGGGAAAAGAGAGAGACATGGAGTGAGAATAAATTAAAAACAAGTTATGATAGTACATATAAGTTATAAAAAAGTTTTTTTTATAAGTTATAATATTCTTATTTATATTCACTCACAAAAAATACTTCTTATTTACGCAAAGCACAGCATAAATGAAAATCCCTTTAAATTTCTCTACAAGTTTTTCATTCACTAAATATATATAAAGTCTTAAGAAATATCTTCTCAAGAAGTATTCATGTCTCAAACAATTTCACAAAATATTTATTAATTAAACCGATTATTTGTGAATATAATACACGTGTGTATATATAAATAAAGTGATTGAAAATTCATTTGTTTACCACAAGTCTATCGCATCCTTCCTGGCATTTGTCGACGACTTCGTACGAGAGAATCGGTTTGACTCGAAAACAGAGCCACAGCTGAAGGAAAATGATGAATAAAAAAGTCACTTCTCGTCGCCGATTATTATTAGCAGATAATAGAGCCATAGTTGTCGTGCGGGTGATAGTCGTCGCTCTTATCTAGCATTTTATACACACGTTTTGATCATATTTTTTGATCAGACAATAGGAACTCTCTCTTATTAATCGAAAAAAACAAATTAAAAACTTTTTATTTCATTCCTCTCTGAGCCGTACGTTCAGTCAAACTCTCAGAGAAAAACTTTTCAAAACAGAAAATACTTTTTTCAAAACATTGTCTCTCACTCTCTATTCGAGTAAAAACTTTTTCGCTCTCAAAGTTTGTGGCACTCATGCGATCACTGGGCGCTCACAAGTAGGTACTGAAGGACGTGAATGAGAGGATCGGTTCTCGTCCGTCTGTATGCCATCAAAATATTTGCAGCAAAAACTTTTAGGAGGACTTTGAGGGACCGGCTGACTGACTGAATGAATGGCATAGGAGTGTATGTGTGAGCGAGAGATCTTTGGGCTGTGGGTGAGAATTGGCGGATGACGTGAGGGCTGCGAAACTTGTTTCATTGGACGCCACCATAGTATACAGTATATCGTCGATAGTCTGTGTGTTTTACAGTCAAATATTTTTATTACAATCTATTTTCGGTACAAAACTTTTTTTTACATTTAATTTTTTGTTTCAGTATTCAGTACAGTACTTGTTTTTTAAAAGATACTCTAATAACTAAAATATAACTCAAATTTCTTTATTATACAGAATATATAGGTATATATAACTTATATAACAATATATGCTTTTAGTTTAGTCTCTCACTCAGTCAGTAACTTTTGTTATACTTATCGCACATTTCTATCAAATATTAGAAAATTGAGTTTCAATTAAAACAATGAATTTATTCTCTCTCTTCTCACACGTATTAATACATTGAGAATAAATCCCCAAAAGTATTAAATAACAAAATTACTGAAATTTAATATTTTCTAAAACTATAGTTTTTTAGTCTTTTTTTGTGCGCATATATTGAATAACTTTGAAGATTATAATATAATATTTAGTTGAAATAAAATTGTAATACCACTTATATTGTGTGAAAAGTAATATTTTTGTAAATAATTGCGATGTTATTAATAATAATAATAATAATAACAAGTTTTTACGTTTATAATACACTGTATATGTATAAATAAGTTTTTGAAATACAATAACCGATTAGTTTATAAAGTTATACATTATATAATGTAGTGAATGTATGCATGAAAGCCATAGACAACCAAACACAATAGAGTTAATTAACTTTTCTTTCCATAACAAACAAATAAAAACATTATGTTTTCGGGTGTTTTTTGGGATCAAAGAATTTATGAGAATAAATAAATAAAGTATTTATTATTTATATAAATATAATAATGAATTGCAAAGAATGCCATTCCTCAGCTGTCTTTACTCAAATCGGGTGATACTTTGCTATTCCTCATTGCTTTCGTTTTTCTTTTGGCTTTTTTATGATTATTATATCGATTAGAAGTTATAGACTTTTGGCTGCTTTCAAGACTCATTGACTTTCGGGACTCTAAATCTGATAAAAACAAAAATCACACAAAAATATAAACATTTAGATAATTCATAAATATATATATATATGTATTTTTATGAAACAAAAACTGATTAACTCTATAAACATCTCGTATATATAAATAGCCATAATGTTTATAATGATTTCTATACTCATCGCAAACCTTTTGTCAGTTTGGCCTCACTTTTGGAGATCACTTCATCGACCGATTTTTGACGGCGAAGTGTCTGAACACTGCTTTTGTTGAGGACCTTATCGATAGGATACGGCTGAGTACCGGATGTGTCATCCGTGTCGTGGGTTCTCTCATCTGATAGCGAATTGTTTGCCAAATCGTTGCTATCATTGCTGTGCTCGCCAGAGGTGTCGTCCCCCTCCGATGAGATGAGATCCAACTTTGAGCCAAAATCTTTGTTCCCATTCATGAGGCTCTTGTGATCAAAGTTGTCATTCAATTGGCTAGCATTCAAATCAGCCTTCTTTTGGTCCACTTCTCTGATGACATCTTCGATCGCTTTGAATGGATTACCATTTTTAATGAACTCCATCTCATTAGTGATATCTTTCGACTCCTGTGTCTCAAACTTTTTGCTCCGAAACCTATTCATCCTTTCCTCCAAACTCTTCTTCTCGTTGGTGTACTGTTCGTTGGAATCGGTTTCCACTCTACCATTCAATTGTAGCCAATTCTTTGCCACAAAACTCAACAGCCATTTGTAGCCGTTATCTATCGACGGATCAATCTTTGATCCATTCTCTGGTCTGGTATTCGCTGAACAAGTTTCCTATCAGTTAATGAGATTATATGCAAAATTGAGTAATTATGCGACGAGTAGTGAAGCGAATGTTCAAAAAGTTTATTTCGCGATCATAACAAATCTTATCAAACACTTAATCAGATGAGACATTCATTTGTCAATTGTGTTCACATCAGACATACATACATAACATTATACACAATACTTCTCTTTTTATTAAATTTGTTTTGATTAATGAGTGTCTCGTTTGTTAAATAATCTTTCACTGTTTATGTAAAGCATAAATAATTTATTATTTATATTTTTATGTGCAAATATTTGTCGACTAATTCTCGGGTCTCTCTCTCTCCCTCCATCCCTCTTATATCTAGATCTATGAGAAGCATTCAAATTGAAATTTTCCCTCTTTTTTATTTTTATTACTATTTTATTCTAATCTCAAATATATTTCAAGGATTTACAGATTGCCGTTGAATACTGTAGTATGCATAGAGAAACTATACTCACAACTTTTGTCGGACACTTAAATTTGTTGATAAGGGATTCGAGTTTTAAATATTGACAAATATCCAGCTCCTCTAGCGCTCCTTCGATATCTTGTTTATTAATTAAACTGCAAATATAAAAACAGAAAAAACTTAACATTATTTTTCAAAATCTAAATATTTTTTTCGAAAACGATATCTATAGATAAATATCTAAATTTGTTTCTATAAGTGAATTAACGTGAAAACAAATGTGCCATTTGTGCGATACCAGAGTTAGTTCTCAATTATCTTGATTTCAATACAATTCATGGAAATCATACTTAAAATACTCTCAAATATTTAAAATTCACATAAATGGTTTTGCAAATAAACTACTCGATAGAAAGTAAGTTTCGATTCACAGATATACTGATAATTAATGCAAACGATCAGAATGTTTGCTGATTATTATTGATATATCTGTGGCTATCTTCTGATTATTGCTAAACTCATCGATAAGACAACGATATTTGAGGGAAATAAATATACAAACACTAGAATAGGTTTTCCAGAAATCTTATCGTTTGAGACCACTTCCTCGATGACATCTTTGACCTCAAGAACTCGGCTGATATCGGATGAGTCGATAACGAATATGATTCCGTGAATTAAGGCAAAGTAGTTCTTCCAAATGGCTCGTATGCGGGCCCCACCGCCCAAGTCATACACCACTACACGATATTTCTCATATCTCCTCATTTCTAGGTTTGAGAAACCAATCGTTGGTATGATATCTTCCAACGAATCTGACAAATATTTTTTGAGGCAAAAAATGTGTTTTAAAATTATAGCACTTTAGAGCTAATTAATTATTGCGGTTTACGTGTGTGTGCATGTGTCACTGACTAGTGATAAAGATTTCGTATATGATAGCGTATAAAATATGTTATCAATGTAAAAATTGGTCTCCAATACCTCCGATGAGATGTAAGGCAGTGGTCGTCTTACCCGCGTTGTCCAAACCCAACAGCAATATCTTAATCGTTGGCTTTTCGCTGTTTTAGAGAAATTTTATATATTAGACACAAAAAATGGTTTTAAAATTATTTCATATGAATTTGCAGTAAATTCATTGATAAGAATAAAAAAACCCGAAATTTATGATCATTTCGCGTCGCGAATGACATTAGAAATCGAGAAAATATGGAGAGAGAAAACACTCGTATATCTAATCGCAGGTATCATTGGTTTTGAAAAGTATACGGTATATAAAAACAAGTATAAAAACCTCTTTATATGTGTGACATTAGTGGTGGTGATCG